TAGACAAAAGCAAACTGAAATAGCAATCATTGCTGAAAAATACTAAGTTGCTTTTTCATTTTGCTTGGCCCAGCTGGCAATTATGCTCTGAAGAACACGATAACAGTGTCTGTTATTGAAAGACAAAAACAGAATAAAAGAATCCTGAATTGTCCACAAAGTAATAAATGTATTACTGTCTCTTGTGGTACAGAGTATGTTTCACCAATAGTGGGATGATGAAGGGGAGGAAGATAAGCACTTAGGCCCTAAAACCAATCTGTTGCATCCTGTCCTGAAATGCTGCACAAGGTCAAAGATGTACACAGCTCTAGTTTGTGTCTCCACAGTAAATTAATGTCAGCAGAGGCTGTGTTTCTCTGGGAGCTGATAAAGAACAAACATTTGCTCAATATTTTAAACATCTCTACTGCTGTGATGTCATATCCATTGGACTTTGCTTGCTGTTGGGTACTTGGAGAAAAGGTTATCTTGCTATTTGTTGTCAGGCTTGCTGCAATATTTGGGCAGAGACGAAATGATAGGGAAAACATTGGAAACTTTCCTTAACAGAGAGAAGTTGTGTTTGGAGAAAGACTGGTGGTTTTTTTTGTGTTTTTTTTTTTTCTTTTTTTTTTCCTCGGATACCTGCATACTGTGGAAGTAAAATGAGTAGCTTGGTGTTATCTTGGAGAGGAAGAAGGTGTCAGTTGTCATAGACAGCAAATTGTTCCTCTATTGCTTATCCCCATGTTGTTGGAAGAGATTAGGGCAGAAAGTGTTTTATCTTCTAGTGCAGGGAGTAACTTTGGCAGCAGTTACTTATGTGTGTTGTGTGATGTGGTGTGATGCTAGCGGCCCTTAGTGACATTTTGACACAGTAAAACCTTAGGGTTTTTTAGCGCCATGGTTTGTACAGGTTTTCAGGAACAGGAATAACTGTTCTGGTTTGGTGTGGGGCACGACAGATTAACAAGAACCTTTTCCAATTCTGATGCTGCTAAATGTACAACTTCAAAAGTACAACTTCAAAACCAAGTCTGCGTTGTTGGAGAGTTAGAAAACTAGTTTTAATTCTGAGCCGCTTTACTAGGATAACCAAATACCTCTTGCTTAAACAATATTTCTGAGGACTTTTTGTTTCTTAAACTAAAATGAAAAAGAACATTAGAAATTACGAGAATTTCAGGTGCATGGGAGTGAGGGAGAGCACTAGACTGACTCAGCCACTTCAGTACCTTTTAAGACTGTGTGGCAGTGCTGTTGTGTAGTCTCTGCAGCATTTCCTTCCTGAAGAGGGGGAAAATTAATGAACAATGCAATTAGGCACATACTTAGAGGAGGAACTGAAAGAGTGAATAGTGTTTCGATTTGGCAGAATACATCTGTGCCATAATGTGCTCAGGTTTTACAGCTTGAGAAAAATGATGATGTGAGAGCTCCTTCCTCGATTATCTTTTTGCTGCATGGTTGTTTCACCAGGCATGTGCTACATCCTGACCAAAAGGAAGCAGTGCTGCCGGTCACAAGCTCAAACCCACAAAATACTGACTACATCTTAAAAATTCTGATGTTTCTTTTTAAACCTTTATTAGGTCTTTATGTGCTATCCCTTTAAATTTCAAGGTCTGCTCAAAGCATATTTTCAGGCATATTTTCGGCATATTTTCCTCCCCCACAGCTACAAGGGCTAGGAATCTGAGGTCCCAGTGAGCTGAAATTTTCAAGCTGTCACTTAATAGTACCAGCAAAGAACTTACATTGTCTTGTGACAGTTTATGGAGCTAAGATTGTTTTAAGGTGCCTAGTATTTAATTTAGTAGTAGCCACTTTATAGTTAAATACTTATTATCTCAGCTTCAGTAGCAGTCAGAAGTACTTTACAAAATAAGTAGGACAGATGGCAAATCTTCCTGCATTCTGCTATTAACACTAGTAATTTTTAAGGAAGAAAGGGAGGCTTATGAGCGTTATCAAAGAAAGGTGATGGTAGTGTGGTAGCATTTGACTGCCTGGTCCAACAGCTCTAGATTCCTGCAGGGTTCATTCTGTGGCATCACTGCATTGTCTGCAAGTGTAAGTTGGAAGATAAAGAGAGGGTGTGAGATAGTGGTTCATAGCAGATACCACACTGTACTAGAATAAAAACTAATTGTAAGTAATGATTTGCCTCTGACAAGGATTGGGGTTCCCTGCTTCCATCAGGGGAAGAAAATATTAGCCTCAGGCCTTATATAGTTGATAGATCATATACCCAAATGAGTTTTTCTGGTGGGTTGATGGGAGCTTGGGGGAATCTGTCTGTCAGTAGGAGATGGAGGCTGATCTCTGAGGTTGTCTTAATGCCATAACAGAGTCAGTCTTGTCTAATTCTGTAATTGTAACTCTGTCCTCTGGGGGAGGTGGGAAGTTGACCCACAGAAGTTAGCTTAGATTACTATTAAAAAAATGCTCATGCATTTTTTGCAGCACTTCCATATCCCATTGGTTGCTTTTAGAAAATTGACCAGCTGACACCATGATCATCAGGTATGGTCATACTGGGTTCCTTGTTCCTTTCATTGTGGAGATCGCTGTAGGGTTTTAAGAAAGAGGAGGAAATTGAATGGTTGAGTTCCAGCATTGTCTTCTTTATTTTGCTTAACCCTGATTGACATGGACCTAAGGGAAGAAACCATGGCCTCCGTCACTTGGGTTGATGGGCTGAAATCAATCTGCTGGCTCTTGTATTGAAGTGAATAAAGTGGAATGGAACTGCTGTTTTCCATCTGAACTGTGTCTTCTTAATTCCCTATTTTCTTACATCTCTGACTATGGGAATTTTCTAGTGCAATATTTGTATTGTAGGCATTTGTTTCCCTTTGATTAACTTTCTACAACACTCAGCTGTTTTAAAATAGGGAGGAAGATGCTGTCATCATTAAAAATACTCCCAGAATAATTTCTTCTGTAAACAAGGCAATTGTTCTGTTTACTAAACCAGATTAAGAAAAACAGTCTTCTTAGTGAAGACTTTCTTGGCTACAGAACTTTCAAACACGGAATGAAGCCAGGCACTGGGTGATGGGATGGTGAGAAGACACATAATTAAAGACCATTTGATGTGTCTAAGGGCTGTGTTAGGTACACTCTTAATGATTGGTTGTTTGGAGCTGGGGTGGACCCATTATCACATCAGTGCCAGGCTGAGTGTAAAACGTGGGAAGTTGTTACAGATCCTTATGATCTTGTTTGAAGAATGATGCTGACTTCTGGTCTTGTGTTTTAACGATTTTTTTTTTATCCAGGCTGTATGAATGCCTTTGTAGACACTTTGCAAGTCAAAAAATTTCTTTTCTCCTCTGTGAAAAGTACTGTTACAAATAATATTTTTGGTTTTTAGTAGGTCCTTTATGGGCTGCTTTTCCTTGTCTTTTCTCTGTTTTGTAGCTTGGTCTGACTCTTCAGCAAGGTTCTTTCTTACACCGAAGTCAGCAAAATCAGCAATTTAATCAGTTGCTAGTTTAGCAACTTTATCTAAACAGCTGGTTTGTCATGTTCTGTTTAGCTGAAGTTTGCATTGATTGAATTAGGGAGTAAGGCTAAACACTTGAGTGGGATGTTTTGGCAAACCTTTTTAAAGCAGGAGGGGATAAAATACTAATAGTGAAAGGAAAAAAGCTACTAGAGAGTGCAGTGTCTTTTTCAAGTAAATAATAGCATCACTTAGGTTGGAAAAGATCAGGGAGTGCAACCATTAGCCCTGCACTGCCAGATCCACCACTCAAAGATGTCCTCAATGTCTCACCTAGACATCTTTTTAATACGTTCAGAAATGGTGACTCAACCATTTCCCTAGGCAGACTGTTCAGTGCTTGACAACCCCTTCAGAATTTTTTTCTCCCCTGATACCTAATTTGAATGTCCGCTGCTGCAACTTTAGGCTGTTTATGCTTGTCCTGCCACTTGCTGCCTGGGAGAAGAGACTGACCCCCACCTTACTACAAATCCATTCCAGGTGGTGTAGAGAGTGACAAGGTCCCCACTGAGCTGCTGCTTCTCCAGACACTTCACCAGCTTTGTCCTTCTCTGGAGTTGCTCTGGCACCTCAGTGTCTGTCTTGCAGTCAGGGGCCCAAAACTGAACAGAGGGTTCAAGGTATGGCCTCACCAGTCCTGAAAACAGAGGAGGGAGTGATCTCTTCCCTCATCTCACTGGCCACACTTGCTGATCCAGGCCAGGATGTCATTGGCCTTCTTGGCCATGTGGGCACACACTGGCTCATGTTCAGCCAATGCTGACCAGCACTTCCAGGTTCTTTTCCGCCAGACAGCTTTCCAGCCATTCTTCCCCCAGCCTGTAGTGCTTATTGAGTTGTTGTGACCCAGACAGAGGAGTTCAACTTGGCCTTGTTGAACCTCCTCCAGTTGACTTTGGCACATTGATGCAGCCTGTCCAGATTGTTCTGCAGAACCTTCCTGCAGTGCAGCAGATGAACACTCCCACTCAGCTTGGTGTTACCTGCAAAGTGAGAATCAATCAATCCCCTTGTCCAGACCATATCTTTTCTTTAAAAATATTAAACAGGATTGAGCCCTGGGAACCCCACTACTGACTGGCTGCCAGTTGGATGTAACTCTGTTCCCCACCTGTGTTTGGGCTCAGCCAGCCGGCTTTTTCCCCAGTGGAGGGCACACCCGTCCAAACCACATGCAGCCAGTTTGTCCAGGAGAATGCTGTAGGAAATGCTGTCTAAGGCTTTATGAAGGATTCGGTACCCAGCATACACAGCCTTTCCCTCATCCTCTGTGCAGGGCACCCTGTCATACAAGGAGATCAGGCTGGTCAAGCCAGACCTGCCTTTCATAAACCCGTGCTACTGGGCCTGATCCCTCGCTTGTACTGTATGTGTCTTGTCATGGCACTCGAGAATATGAACCAGTTGCTGTTAATGACACATGACTAAACCTGATAGGTGAGTTTTCCTCTATTTTTGAAGTTTTAGGGAAAAACTCTTACTGAATTACTGCAAAACCTTAGAGATGTCTCTAGAAGTTGAGTATGACTATCCGGACGAATTTGTAGCGATCCTTCAAGTAAAGTCAAGGGAATTGGTGCTGAGAAGTGGCAGTGCTACTTCCCAAAGAGAGTTGAAAGGTTGGAATTGCAACAGCTGCAGCCTGTGAAGTATTTTCCTCCAGAACAGAGCAGGATAGCCTGTAGGATATACTTAAGGTTGATTAATTCTACCTGGTTCATTGCATGGCTTTGTTACTGGTAGGTACTGTTATAAAACCACATCTCTAACTCTACAACTAAATTCCAGTGCAAGATATGAGTAGAGAAGAATAAGGAAGTTGTGGCTTGTTGTACTCAAGTAAAGTAATCATGACACTGTTAGGGAAGGAGTGGAATAGTAGGAGGCTGTATCTGTCAAGTAAATTTCCATGATAACTTGTGGCTGGAATGGCTATTTTGGACTTTTACAGGATTAAGAAACAACAGTTCATTCATAGCTACTGTTAGGGCTGCTCAATGTTTAGGATGTGAGCAACACAGGACTTGATTTTCCTTGAGTCTGTCTTGCCAGATCTGTGTTTCTGATATTTCTCTGTTTTTCTTTTACTAGACTGTGCAATGAGGCGAAAACTCTATTTGAAAAATGGACCTTTTCTTTGATATTTCTGTATAATTTCACAAGTTCAGCAGATGGGATCCTAACTTTTCTTCGTCACTTAGTAATGTATGAAAATAACATTCTTCTGTTGCTTGAGCAATGAAGTTTGGCTTGTGTCAGTAGCTGAAGACTGTGCAGGCATAAGCAGATAGTTTCAGTGCAGCTTTAAATGTCAAAACTGGACTTTAGGAACACTTTCAGTGATCCTAAAAAAGGCAGTAGAAATTTGTGGCAGCTCATACCCTGTTCTGTTTCATCAGCATCAGCCTATCTGCCTCCTGCAATGTGCCAATGCTTGTTTAACTGTGTAATTATGGAAACTGATAGCATGTGACACAAGAAACAGCAAGAGAAGCACAGGCACCTATAAAGGCCAGGTGGTTTCTTTGGGCTGCCAGTGGACAGAAGAGTTCTACTATCACATGGCCTCAGAGAGAACCTAGAGTGAACCCATGCTTCTTTGCAGAGAACACACATTTGGTCGGTGCAAAGCAGCATTCAGCTCCTGACACTGGGTCTTTGTGTGAGAAACTGAAGTGGAGGGATCACCTGTCAGACTTCTGGTGGTAGAGAATGACTATAATAACAATAACTTCTCTTTTGTAGGTTTCCAGATGCTTTAGAGAAAGTTCTTACATTAGTTCATCTTGTGTTCAGTTTCTTGTTTTGTTTTTTTTTTTTTTTTTTTACATTTCAGGTTTATTAGTCATGAAACGAATTCTTCTGGTTTTTATCCTGGCTGCTGCTGTTATGTATGGTATCCTGCATGGAAATCTATGGAGAAATAACTTCTACTGGTATGGTGATGCTTTGTTGATTTAGAGTGCAGACACCTCATGGCTGTATGAGAGATGCGAGTTCTTGTGTTGCTCCATAAGTGTTGCTAGTAATCATCATAAGTGATTACTACTCTGTGTGTGTGTTTTGTGGTTGAGATCTTCTGGTACTCTGAGGAAATCACTATGATTGTTTTGTCCTGTCACCTGTTCTCCTGTGTCACTTTCAAACCTAGTAATTAATTTTGAGCCTAGTTGTATGGAGACTTCAGGACCTCAGTGGTAGGGAGCCTCTCTGAGGTTCATGAAAATAGGTGCTCAGGTGAGGAGTTACATGAAGTGCAGAAATAAGGTGTCCATGTCCCCCTCCACCCCATGTGGGTTTAGTGCTAGTTTGTTCCATTAAATGTCTGATAAGTGATGTGGGAGAGGCCTTTTCCACATGTGGGAATAACTGCAGGTGCAGGGGGCACCCTTTGAAAAGCTGAGATTTGTTGAGGTCCAACAGCAGCCCTTGAGGGCAGTGAGGCTTCACTGTCTCCAGGCTCACAGGACAGGTGGCTTGGGACCTAAAATTTGGGGGACTTACTTAAAGTTGAGTTTCCATTGGTCTTTGCACAGCTGTGACCAGGCCTGACCAGACTGTTACGAAGATAAGTGATAATTTTTATAAGTAGTGGTTAATGTGCTCCCTTTATCTTGTTTATGGTGTACAATTGATACAAATAGCTTTCTGTTGTGGTTTCAATTTACTGCAAACCACAGTGTTGTGACATTTCCCTTTTTGCAGGATTAGCTTTTATGGACAGAGTTCCTCTGTGAGGGCTTCTCCTTCCTATGTGACTAGTGGAGTTACAATCAGTTACAATCAGTAAGTTCAGCAGTTGAGTATTTTTGTGGTGGGGTTGTTGTTTTCTTTTGGTTTTGGATAGGTGGGAGGGATTGAGGCTAAAATCTATAGCCTTTTTCGATAGGCTCCCTGCTCAGTTGTACAGTTGTGTCCAGTGGCTATTGCTGTTATAAACACAGTGGTAAAGTGTTTGTCAAAAAGGAATTTGTCCATGTTATGTTTCCAGTGTTTGTTTAATATTTATGGCCACTTTCAATAACCATCTTCTAACAAGCAGTGAATTGTTGGAAGGACATTGGCTTACAATTTTCAAATCTGTGCAATTCTGAATTATACCTGAACAAAGTTAGCACAACTTGGAGGGCAACTTCAGTGCTTAAAACTTATTAAACCAGAAGTGTGTTTCAGTTGTTGTGTTCAAGTGTGTGTATAGGCAGCTCTTGTGCTTGTGACTTCTTGAAGTTAGATTTGTGGGACTAATGAGCACCTATGCTAAAACTTGAAAGCAGACCTCTCTTCTCTCTGAAGCTGTGCTGCAAAATACGGTCTGTGGGGCTGATGCTGGAAAGCAGCAAGGTGACCAGCTGATCGATTTCACAGGGTGCTTTCTCAGTGTCAGTATTCACATAAGAACTTCAGGTTACCAAAATCAGTTAACCTTAATGGTCTCTTTGGCTTGTGGTTCTGATGTGGTGGTTTCATCCTTCTGTCCTTAATGCAATCCACTGGCACATGCTGCTCACACTGAACTTTACCTTCCCTTCTGGGCTTCATATTTGTGATTAATTGGGCTAAATCTCCAAGTCAGGAATGTGCTTAGGAGTGTGAGTCGTAACCTTATTATGGGTGGAATGACTTATCCCCAAAGAATATAATTTTCCTTAAAGTACCCTTTTTCCTTCTCCAAACAAGACTTTGTCTCCTCCCTGAGGAGTGATGGGGATGCTGTCTGGAATGGTTGCAGGGGTGATTGAGCCCAGGAGTCCTGCTTCTCTGGAGATGGACCTTAGTTCTCACTTCTGATTATGCCTGCTTTGATACTTGCTGAGCAAGGGAGGTCACAGCTCCCCTTGGAGCAGCAGTGTGAGATAAAAGCCTGTGCTAGTTAAAAGTAATTGTGCTGCAATGATAAAGTTTCATCTCTATCACACAGGGGGAGGGAGTAATGAAATCTTGGTGTGATCTTAACTCAGTAGTTAGCTTTTACTAATTTGATTTGTCAAACTTCTCTTAGCTTGTTTCTGCTACCCATTCCTGGTCTTGCTATTTATTTGGAATTGTTTTTTTGCAGGCTGCCACCTACGGCTGTAGAGAGGAGGAATGCATTGGATACTTGTCTCCTGAAACCAGCATTTGAATCTTTACTGGGGTGAGTCTTTGTGAGAATTGAGATGGGGAAGGAATGGCTGTGCTGATTGAGGTAAAACTGGGCTATTTACACATTTTGGAACAAACGCTGAGTAGTGCCCTGAGAAAGCTTGGAAAGATCAGACCAAGAACTGGCTGAAGGAGTCTTAAACCTCTGCGCAAAGACACTGTGGCCTTTTTTCCCCACCCCGGTGCTTTTTTATATAAGAAAATGTTGCTATAATTTTAGTGCTGTTGTGAGTTGAAAGCACGTAGAAGCCTGTAAACTTTGTGCCACTCAAAGCAGACTTGCAGCCTTTGAGTTTTAGTTAGCTCCCGGTCTGGTGAGGTGATCCTAATTCCCTTGCCCATGGATTGTGCCCAGGCTGTCTGGGTGTTGGGTGCAGCAGGGTAGCTCTGTTGTTCAGCAGATGGGGCGGGAATGGGCTCAGACGTAGCAAGAAGAATGTACGTGCACAGCTAGGACAGTCTCACACATTTCTGTAACTTCTTTATACAGACAGTATGAGCTGAAGATCTGTTCTGTGCACTTTGGTAATAGCCTGGGGAGGTTGAAAGGATTTCTAACCTTGCAGAATTATTTATTGGAAAGGATCCAGAGCTAGAAAAGCTAGAATTGAGGATCTTTTCTCAGTGGGTAAATTATGTATTATGTCTAAGCTTAGCAGCTGTTTCTGAACAGCAAAGCAGGTTGCTAAATTTAATATGGGTATTTAGTGCATCGTGTCTCAAAGCTAGTTGGTCTTGCGTACTTAAGCTATGGCCCATTTCTTGGTGTGTGAGCTGTGGTGTTTTGTTTTGGGGTTTTTTTTCCCTTTTTACTGTCAGTATCTTCTGAATACCTAGAGCTTAAAGAATGAGGTAGTTGATTTGGGAAACTGAAAGAGAAGGTTTTCTTAGCAGCTGTAATGTTCTTAGTGGACAAACAAGTCATATGCTGACTGGGGCTTTTTATGACTAAGATTAGGTTTTCTGATGACTGTATATTTCTGTGTTAACATTTTAATCTAAGACCTAATGTGGGGGATCATTACAAAGTCAACCAGTACAGTGAGTGCATGCTTAGTTAATTCAAAGGTGAAGCCAAGGGCATGATAGCATGTGACATGTTTCTGTCTGCTGTTCACTCATTGGGGTGGACTTGGCACTAAGGCAGTAGGAGTGCCTTCCCTGCTATGAGAGACCCTTTTCTGTGGTTCCTGTCTTCCAACAAAAGAAGTGACCCATTCTTTTTAGCACGATGCTTACAAGGTATAATTCCATCATGTTCTAGTTTGCAGGAAGAATGTGCTTTTGAGGCAAACCTCTTTGTGATCCCCGCACACCATGCTTCTCATCCCAGGGTGGCCCTTGTGTGAATGCACTGGGATCCTTTCAGACATCTGCTTAAGCCAGAAGATGCACTGCAGGAGCACAGCCCATGTGGTGCAGCTGCTAAGGGCTGGGACTCTTCTAGAGTTAGACCAGAATATAAAATACCCAAGATGCATGTAATGTGGACATGAGAACTCCATACTTTTTTGCTGCTTGGATACACCGCTGTTGCCTCAAACAACTTACTAGTGTCAACACAGTCATATAGTGTCACTTGTTTGGACTAGGAGTGCAGCTCAAATCAGGAAATGGTATTTTTGATTTAAAACACCTTGCTTCAAACCCTGTTCTTATTTATTCAAATGCCATATACAATAATAACTCTTAATTTTCCTTTTTACCTCTGTTATTTTCAAACTTGAAGTTATTCACTGACTTCTTTGGTTATGTATTCTCTTAAATACGTGGTCTCATGGTGTAAGCTTTCAGTCACACCATTTTAATGAGTCTTTATAAAGTGTACAAATAGACAAGTCTTTTTATCTCACTCTTTACCTATATTTTCTGTTACAAGATCTTATGCTTTTCCATCATCTGTTGGCTTTCCCTGTGTTCGTGGATTTTTTCCTTTTAAAAATGGGTGATAATATGATAAAAAGGGTAATAGTATAAAGAAAGCTTTTCACAAAGCACTTGCATGAATACTAGCTTATGCAGGTACATCATGCAATTTTGAAACTTCTTCCTTTTTTCCTTCATCAGTGTTGACAAAATATACCCATTCCTGTGCGCTAATGATTTTATCAGAGTGGCAGAGTTCCAAGGGAGCAATAAGTTTGAACTACCTTATGGAATAAAGAGAGCAGGTTTGTATTTCCCATGTACCTTATTTTTAATCAGAAATACCTAAATGGTTTGTAAAGCCACCTGAATCTGTGACCATGATCTTTCCTGTGCACTGATGCCAGTCCTTTTGGGGGGCCTAGTAGTGTCTTAATGGTTTCGTTCAGTCCCTCTGACCTGACACCTTCCTGTTTTTAACAAGTAAAACACTGGGTTGGGGTTGCCCCTCCTAGCAGAGAAGCTCCAAAAAGGTGTGAGTGAGGAAGACTGGACCTTACTCAGCTTCCTTCTGTTTGTATGTGGGCTGGAGTGCTAAAGATAATCAGCTATGCTTTGCTAGGAGAAATACTGAGTCGGTGTGATGGGCTTCAGTCAGCACACCTAAACTGGTTGGAACCCAGAGTCCTAATGAGGCAGAAATCCTCAGGTTTAGGCAGTTCCATCAGTGAAATTTTCCTTTTACTGTCCTGGTTTTGAGTGGAATACAGTTAATTTTCTTCTTAGTAGGTGGTACAGTGCTGTGTTTGGGATTCAGCATGGGAATAATGTTGACAACACATGGATGTTTTAATTGTTGCTAAGTAGTGCTTACTCTGAGTCAAGGCTGTCTCAGTTTCTCATGCTCTGGCACTGAGCAGGTGCACAAGAAGGTCGAGGGGAGGATTGCCAGGACAATTGACCCCAGCTGAAAAGTGGCTATTCTGTGTCATATAACATGTCAATACTTAAACAGGAGGGGCTGGTTGCTGCCTGGGAACTGGCATCAGTCAGTAGGTGGTGAGCAATTGTATTCTTCATCACTTGTTCTTCTTGGGTTTTCCCCTTTCTCTTTCCTTTTCCATACAAATGTTAGATTTTTCTGATTCTCCTACCTGTCAAGTGGTGGAGACTCACTGGCTGTGTGGCACTTAATTGCCATCTAGGGCTAAACCACGACACTGAGCTGGCTGCTCCTGGTGTGGAAAGGGCCACAGGGGGGAATTGATGACACTGCCTGGTTGCTGGACCTGTGGAAAGATTTGTTGGCATGTTCCCACTGCCTGTGTTGATCAGGCCAGAGTAAATAGGGCTGATGCCCCAAGAGCCTTAGCCACCCTTTTGGAAAGGGTTGTAAAGTCTCAAATTTCAGAGTTTTTAACACTAACAGTGCACCTTCCTAATCTGGGCTTTAGACTTTTGATTTGCCCTCCATCAGTGGTAACAGGGATGGTGTATTTTCCTGCACTTTCAGGGTTACAGTGAGGAAAACTACATTTGGGAATGAGTTGATTTCTCTTCTGAGGCAAATTAAGTGTCCAGCAGGAGCCTGCCCACCAGGGGTGGCTGGGAAGGTCTCTCTGTCTAGCGTTACCACATTGATTGATGTCTCTCCAAAGATACGTAATACTGTTACTGTTCCTGGCTGTATGAATGCTCTTGAGTCAGCTGAAGGTGGGTAGAAGAAAAACCAAAGTGAGTTAGGATGTGGATCTTGGAAATTATTCCAATTCTTATTTGCTGTAACTAAGATTTTTTTTTTAATACAGATCTCATGCTATTTTGTATTTTGAGGCAGAAAAAACTCAGAGGGGAGCTGTGATAAACTTCATGTTCTTTGGCGTCGTTGGTTGATCTGTGGCACTAAGTTCCAAGTGTTCTGACTTTGATGTTTTTATGCACAGTGCACTACTGTGTTTAAAAACATTGTGGTCAGGATGGCATGCTTAATTTTGTGTTGCAAATACTGAGTGTTTTCATTAATCTTGTTTATATTTGCTTTTAGAGCAATTTTTTCGTTTAGCCCTTTCAAGACTGCAGAACTGTGGCCTTTCCAGTGAAGAAGACAGGTGAGATGGTTTATTTGCGACTGTTTCTCTTATTTGCATTTTTAATATTTAGTACTTACCTGAAAAGGAGTGGATGTGGGTTTATCCTGAAATTGCTCTAATTAGTCAAGACATGTAGTTAGAGTAGACTTACAGGGTCCAAGCAGTGTGTAGCTGATTCCAAGGTTTCAGTAGGCTTGGTTTTACACTTCAGTAGTACCAGCATGCAAGAAAAATTACTCTTTGAGAGAGTTTTAACTTAGAAGCTTCCTTTTATAAGTGTTTTAGAAATTCACCAGCTGAATGCAGTCCCATCTTCCTATAGTATCTTTTCATACTTAGATTGAATGTGACCTCCTCTTTGAAATTCAGTGTAAGATGGAGAGTGTTTGAGATATGCAGGTGCAAACCAGTGTCTGCTTCTAAGCAGAACAAATCTTCGGCATATCCCTGTGCCTCTGATCTGCTGGCTGCTGTGTGCCCTTGTTCCTACATACGCTCAATTTCCTTTTCCTTGTGGATGAGGGAGACCTAGGAAAACAGGAAAGGCTGTCTGTCCTTTTGGAAGTAACAGGGGTGTGGTATGGAAGGGAGCATACCCAAGATAACTTGCTTCCTGTGGATTAGATAGATTAAATCTCATGTTGAAAGCCACATCTGCCATGTTTTGTTTTGTTTTGGAGGTTCTTTGTGTTTGTGTGTCTTGCTTTTTGCTTGGCTTTTGTTGGGATTTTTTGCAGGCAGGGTTGGCAAGTAGACTGAAGTCCTGTGTTTACAAAGTGATGAAATGACTCCTTAGATTTGCAGTCTAGCAAATGGCTGACAGCCTGCCAGATGTGATGTTGATATACATATTTCTTAATAGAGTTGAATGCAAATAACGCTGAGCTTGGCTGTACTTTTGTTTTTTTAATTACAGAGATCATAAGAGATTGCTGCTTGAAGCCAAATGTCAGGATCACAGTTTAATTAAACTTGGGTGGAATATATTCAAACCTAAGGCTTTGTTTTAATACAAGGATTTTATTTTTTTTTCCCTACTGTACTCCTGCCTTTCTCTGTGTTTAGTCTGTTTCTAGGATGTTCAAGTTTGCTCTTAAGAAAAGGAAGGAAAAAAGTAAAACTCTGTATTTTCTATCAGGAGTGTAATAACAGGGTAAATATATACAGAATTGGCTGATAGAAGCTGCTATTTTGTGTGGAGTTTGAAGGACAGTGCCAAATGTTATATTAGAAATCCCCTGAAACCGTAAGTTCAGGACCTTAATTGTTTGTGCTCTAAAGCAGAGATGCTTGTACCTTTTTAAGTGGAAATGCTTGTCCTGTAGATGAAAAGTGAGGAAATTGGGATTCATCCTTTAAATGTAGGTCCTCTGAGATGTAGATATGGTTCGTAGTTCTGGGAAGTATGCTTCATTTTATTAAAAGTTATTAACATACTTCAGTGGTACTGAAACAAAATGAGACTATTACAATTTAATATTAATATTAACATTAATACTAATATTAACAAATCAAGCAGACAATGACTTAATACAATATATTCTTTCTAGATCCATCAGGTTTTGTGTACAGCACTCTTAAGGCACGAATCACTGTAGTCAGGAAGAATTTTTATACATACATGTCACTGAGATATAGTGGCTTTTAAAAGTGAATCTCTTTAGGAATTAATCCTAACAATGTTCTTCAGTAATACAGAATTATTAGGCAGCTCTGTAATACTGTTGTCCAATTCAGCCTTCTTGGAAGAACACAAACCAGGTTTCCCTATAAATGTTTATTAAGGCAGACAAATATTAGCCTAGATAAGCATGAAGTCTCTGGTGCTTATATAGCTGTATTTGTGTTCAACTTAGGTAAATCTGTACACAGTGAGCTACAGAGTTTTTTTTCCCCCCAAACTAAGATCAAATTCTCACTTTGTAAAGGTGTGGCTCTCCCAAAGAGTTTGGAAATGAACAGTATCACTGACTTCAGTTCGACTGTGACTTCAGTTCCTTGCTGAGTGCTCTAAGGTCTCTGAGCTCAACAGTTCTTACAAACGCATTTACACAATCCTGAGTAAACAAAATGTGACCTTTGCATCCTCTTTTCATCAAATAACCTCGAAGGAAATAATTTGCATTCCTCAAGTGACTACAGGGATGTGTTGAAGGAGTGGAGTCTGAGGTCTTTTCTTTTTCCACTGAAACAGTATTTCAGTGGAATGTGGAGGATGCAAACCTTCTGACCTTTAGAGGCTACATTTCCATTTAGCAATGTTTTTCTTCTATAGACTAGGAAAATGTTTCTTTTAGCATTTCACCATATAAAGGAAATACATAAGCCAAGGCCTAGCCTTGAGATTGAGGCTTTTGTGCACCACCTGAATGGGGCAGTAGTTTGAGTGACTTAGTACCTGCATACATTGGAGATCAGTTACCATGGTGTTTGCATTGGCACCTGTTTATATTTTTAGTAGATCTCTGACATATAAAGGCAATCCATTTGTCACTCAGACCTTTCCTATAGCTGTTGGTACAGCCAAGGTCTTAATATTTTTCACTGTCACAAATACTGTGCTAGTGAACATCCAGATATTGTGATCTGTTATATTTTACTTGTAGCACAGCCGATGTCGTTTAAGGATATCTAAACTAATTTCTCCTCTTGTCAGTATTATTGACTTGGAGAAAGGTTGAGTGTTTGGGGTTGTTCAATTTGAAAACAGGAAAAGGAAATTTTAAGAAGTGAGGTTGTTAAAGTATCTGGGAGAAACAGTCTGCTGAAAATTCCTGTGTTGACCTGTGATCTGCTGTAAGTAAAAATCAGTTTATTTAACTTAAGAACCTTTAAATATAGTTCAGCCTTGCTACGTATTTTTTATCTCTATGTCATGTGTTCATTTTCTATGATACTATGCTCTGGTTTTTAACATAAACAGTTTCCCTCCCTGCTTATTGTTGTTAGTGGGCTCAGCACTACTGTTTGTTTAAATTTGTTTGACTCTACTCGTGTACACTTCTTTAGACCTATTTGATCTGCTTGTTGACTGTACCCATTTCAAAAATTCAAATACTAATTTTAGATTTTTATTGGATAATTGTTGGCAGCTGATAACTTTTTGAGTATGCATGTTATGAAGGGCACTGTAATTCACAAACTTAATCAAGCTTCAAATTTCACTCTGTTTTCTGACCAAGTAGTACTAGTCAACTTTTAGTCATAAACAAAATCTAGTCTGCATTCAGCAATAAGAAAAAAGCTTGAATTTGACTTGAGAACAGCTACACAACTTCTGTAGCTGAGCAAACCTCAGTTGCTCAGCTCTGAAGGCACATTTTATTTTGCCCTCCCTGCCCTGATGTGTCCTGCTGCATCATGACTACAGAAAGGAGAAAGCAAAGACCTTTTAATTGTATACCAGAGTGGAAGGCATTATTTCAATTGCTAGAGATTAACTTGCTGAACAAGTATCTTAAATTACCTCTTCCAAAAGTTGAAAGGTATGTAATAAGGAATTACTTTAAGTTAATCTACAAGGAACAGAAAAAGCAGTGCCTCCTCAAAGTAAATGCCAGGACACATGATACAACCATATGCTAATCTTGTGCTTTTTGCCCCTCTCCCTCACTCTACCCTCATCACTTACTGATGACATTTTTTCATCTGGTTTTCCCTTTTCCTTCCTTACATTGAGCTCTAAGCTATAGCTGTAAGCAACAAGGTGTAATTCAGGAAAAGGGCAACTTCTGCATTCTTACTCTTGCTGTAAATTGTAAGAGACATATGTTCATCAGCCTGCTTTCTTAAGATACTTTCAGACTAGATAGAAAAATAAAATGGAAAATTAATGGGCAAAAAGATTAGAGAGGGAAGGGATTTAGGGGGTGTAGAGGGAGTGAGTGTACTGCAGACAGATGGGATAACAGGTTTTCATCCCTCTGATTTTCAAGATACCAGGTCACATGAGTTATGGTATTAGCTGGAAGTCTTTTAATAATTTGCCTTCTACTAAGCTGTTCAGGCAACAGTAGAGAAAGGTATGCTAGCTTTTTTTTCATGTAACCCAACCCTGAAAGCTGCATTTAGAGCACTGGTTTTATGTGTGTGTGTATATATATATATATGTGTGTGTATGTATGTGTATATGTATATTTAAAGGCGACTATTTCTGCAGAGGTTGTTAGTTCTGTAGGAAATTCAGGGAACTGCTTTGTACATTGAGATGTTGCTCAGTCTTGGCTGGAACCAGCTGTTTTGATTGATGTTGAATAATAACTCTGAGCTGAAAAAACAGATTCGACTATTTGAGGAGAAAGAAGTTAATTAGTTTGCATGAAGTGCCATGCTGGGAATTCAATATAAGTTATAGTGGGTTTTGGGACACAGTTTTGGTGTCCTGACCCTAGAGCAAGAAGTGGCAGGGAGCCTTTTTCTTACTTGAAGAAAGAACTAAAAGAGTGGGGTGTTACTATGAGGTGACTTATATTTTCTCATCGTTCCTGCTGCAACCAAATTGAACGGCTTTTGCTCTAAACAAAGAGGCATTTTTACAACAAAAAATGATGTGCTTATTCTGAAAGGAGTTTACAGTTTTACATGTTTGATTTAAACCTTCCCTAAAAAGGCAAAATATATTGAGTAAAAAAACCAGCAAGCCTATTTGTGAGCTCCTCCTCCCTTTTTTTTTTAGCATGTTTTATTAGCATTGAAACAGGACGGTAAAAGCAAAATATGCACTGAGAAAACCTGTGGTAACTTAGAAAATCTTACCCTTAAACTCTCATAAGTTTAACATCTCCACAATACCTATTTTGCATGCTTTTTATCTCTGAATGTATTGTAAATTCGAAATTTCTCTTTTGATTTGATGAAGTATAATATCTTACTTTTTAGCACATAGTATTTTATAGGCCTAGTAATGGTGTCTAATTTGAATCTGCTCATATAAGAATGCAACCTTTCATCAAGGAATCCATCTTGTTACATTATGACAGCATGCACAGTCACTTGTGTAAACGTGTTTTGATTTTGACCATATTAATTTGAAAAGCTGCCATGTGTTATTGGGCTAAGATTTTTCACATGTACAGTTCATAGGCCTGTAAGGTGAACATAAATTTTGCTGCTTTAGTTTGTGTTGGAGGTGTGCAGTTGTATAATACTGTAGAAGCATCTTAATATTGAGTTAGCTTTTCCAGACTCTGACAAATTTGAAGGACTGTGGCAGATAATTTATCAAATGGCACCCATATCACAAACTGGTTAGGTGTGATCTTAAGCAGCAGACCACTAGAAAAAGGAGATGTGTAAAAACAGTTTCACAAGAGAGAAGCCAATTATGGACTTTGTTAGTCCCTGAAATAGTGCCTTTTTTTTAAGCAGCCATAGTACATGATATGGGATTGAATCTGCTTTGTAGGGGCCAAGGGCTGCAAAAGATACAGAATCTTACTTAGAAAATAAGCCAGATAATGTGCAGAAGTATCATTAATAATATGAAGCCAGGGAAGTCATGTATATTAAAAACTTCTCTTTGTTCCACAGCATTCCCTGTCGACGGTGCATTGTGGTTGGTAATGGAGGAGTACTTCGAAATAAGACATTAGGGGAGAAAATTGACTCGTATGATATCATAATAAGGTAAATGCTATCTCTGTTGCATTTTGTGTACACGGAGCAATGGGTAATTCTCCAAGGCCAGGTACTCTCTCTGCCCTTCTCTAGTGTGTGTGTGTTGGAGCTAAATCAGAAGACTTGCTTTTTGCTTGCGTGACACATGATAAGCAATTGTGTGACTGTATTTTAAACCACCTTGGCCACATTCCTGTGTGTGCCTGATCCCTCTGACTGTAGAGGGTGAGTGCACCTGATAATTGCTCCTCTGCTGTTTAACGTGATATGTAAATGCTGGGCTGCTAAACTTTCCTGTACCTACACACAGTGTCTGTCCTGCAGACTAATAGCCGCTGTACAGTAGGAACACAGGTGGGCAGTCACTGATGTCTCTGTGCCTGTGTCCTCTGCAGAATGAATAATGGCCCTGTGATAGGGTACGAAGAGGATGTTGGGAGGAGGACGACTTTTCGCCTTTCTTACCCAGAATCTATCTTCTCAGATCCCATCCACTATGACCCTAATACCACTATTGTTCTCATCGTCTTCAAACCACGGGACTTGAAGTGGCTTTGGGAGATACTTGGTGGTCAGAAAATAGTGAGTTCAATTATTCATATGCCTTGGCTCATCTTGCCACACTTGCTTCTGTAAAATACACATTTGCTTTTAACTATTGTACTCCCAGCTGAGAGGGAGGCACTCGGTGCCATGGTTTAGTTGAGGTGTTAGGGCATGGGTTGAACTTAATGATCTTTAAGGTCTCTTCTAACCTAGTCATTCTGTGAATTCTGTGAGGAGCTCTGGATCTCCTTGTAGTCAGTTTATTTAATATCCCTCTTCCATAAATGCTTTGTCTTCTTTCTAATGCACATATTTGACCAGTTCCTCACCACTGAGCAGTTTACCTCTGGAAAATGTATTTTTATCCTCTTCCTAGTGTTGTTTGATATTTTAACATGCATGCTCCAGCCATTTCCCACTTTATTTTACCTTGCGCACTTGCAGGAATTGCAGAATAATGTTAAAAGTGACCTCTCTCAGAAGGTCCTAAGTCTAAAATCTTTTTGAGTCTTCTTCATTAAGGGCCAAGTTCAAAGTCATACTGAGTTCTCAGGGCACTGTCTGAGTAAATTTTCAGTATCTCCAAGAATATTTCTACAAACTCCATTCCAGTGCTTCAGCACACTTGCAGGAGAAAATTTCTCCTTTTCCTTTCACTGTGTGCCTCTGAGAAGAGTGTGATCTCATCTTCATTAACCCCTTCCAGATAGTTGAAGATGGGCTGAACAAATCCAGCCTGCTCTGACCCTTTTTGTTTGCTGTGGGCTCTGGCCCCTTGGCTGTTGTAGTGACCCTCTGCTGTTCGACATGCTCCTGCACAGCGGGGAGCCCAACACAGCATTTGTGGGACTGCAGAAAGGGCACAGTGCAAAGTAGTTGAGAATAATAGCAACTTCTGTCTGCCTGTTGCCTATGCTCTTACTAAATGGCCAGCACACGATGAGCATTTACGGCCTCCAGGGCATATTGTTGGTACATGTCATCCATCAGGGACCTTTCTGCAAAGCTCTTTTCCAGCCAGCTGGCTACGTCTGCAGCAGTCCGTTTCCTGTTGCAGGAGCAGGTGTTTTTGAATTTAGGGAGATTAAGCACTCTTCTTCTTCTTTAACCTCATGCTTTTGGAGTTTACACTGGTTAGAGTTGCTACAAAACTAAATTCAACTGTTTTCAGTTGTTAAAAATGTCTATTTACTTGCCTGTCACAGAGCGCGAAGGGCTTCTGGAAGAAACCAGCTCTGAATATGATCTACAAATCGAGTCAAATCAGGATTCTTGATCCCAGCATCACCAGGAAAGCTGCTTATGAGTGGCTTCATTTCCCAACAAGGTTTCCTAAGAAGGAGGTACGCTTTTTCCTTTTGCCTCTCCTAGTTTTGTGCAACCAAATGGGTATTTAGAAGCAATTATATCTTTATTACAGTAGAATGTAATGTAGAAAACCCTTTAGGTTTGCATTAAAGTAGTTTGCTATTTAGATGGTGGTTTTAGAAGATGGGAGACTGGAACCCAGAAAGAGTGGCTTGCTTTGTGTGCCAAAAGTACCTTTTTATGGGTTCTGTAATTGGTATGAAATGAAGCTGCTTTCCTGACAGACAAAATGCCTTTACCAAAACTGGGGAAGACAGGCAGGTAATGCAGCATGACAGATTCAAAGAGTTTCTAGAAATAATAGGGAGTCTGGATATGAATTTTGGGTGTTTTTCTTAAAACACCAAGGCACATAAAAATACAGAGAAAAAACCCCAAACAAACAATGAAACCTCCACCAAAAATCAAATGACCAAAAATAACCCCACACCAAACAAACCTTCCCCTCCAAACCCCAGCAGACTGGTAATTCTAACTCTCTGCAATTTCATACTCCTGGGGCTGCGGAGGGACTAGGGAACAATGAAGATATTCCAGCCCTGTGCTAATGATGAATGTCTGGCAGCACGGTTGTACTTACTGATTTGATGCCAAGCATTGTAATGAGCTAACCAGCAATTTGGACATAAAAATATGTTTTAATTGTCAGTTCTTTATGGAAAAATGTTTTTGATGAAAGGTAAAGCTTCAAGCTGGGAACCTCCCTTGTGCAGTCAGGATCAACCATGTGCTGTTTTGCACAGAGACAGTTACCTTGGGTCACATTCCCACTTCACCAACACCACCCAAGTGACACGTGTGGAAATGTCAACAGGCTGTCACTGTGGAGTATCTACCACAAATTTTTTTCTGGTTTACTCTAATATTGAGCGGGTGGCGGGGGGGTACATTCTGTACCTCTTTCCAGTATTTCTTTCTGTTTTCTGAGCTTAATAGTGGTTTTTTTCTCCCTTACTAACTCTCAGACTGGAATAGCCATTTTGGTATGTGCTTGCTTGGGCCCCTGGCATTTCAGGTTTTCAGCCAAGGGTGGCAAGAAAGCAGCATAGTAATTGGATGCCTGACTAATCTAAATGGCCACAGAACGCACATGGCCTCCATGGGTCCAGAAGTCCCTCCTGACTCTTCTGGGGCTCCCCTCTTAGTGGGAGTGGACATTAAAAGCAGTGCTGTCAGTGAGTCAGAGAGATGTGCATGGTGTCAGCTGGTATGTAGGCACAGGCCCCTTTGCTCTTCTCCTGCCTTTGAGTGCCCCTGCACAGAGCTAGAGTCCTCTTCTGCTACCTCCATATATATCCTACTTACTTCATGCCAGGGGTTTTGCAGTTCCTCGCCCCTGTACAGCAATGATCAATCTTAAGCATGCTCTTCCTCCCTTTCCTCCCATCTCAGAGGTGGGCTGTGACTGGGAGATAACAGGAGCCTGCACATCTGCAGTGGCACTGGCACAGCTTGGTTAAGCTGCAGGTCACACCACAGGCTCCATGGGCAGGAAGGTCTCACACTGGGGCCCTCTGTACCATTGCTTGTCCCTGGGCAGGGCTGGTGCTGCCTTTGCTGTCCTGTGCTTCAGCCCCCTCTGCCCGCAGGATATGCCAGCAACCACTGTTGCTTTCCCTGCTGTCCTTACCATTTCCATTAAACCAGTATCATGTTCCCAGTGAGCACATTAGTGCATAGCCAATAAACATTTCTGATTGTTAGTAGAGCTGGGAATAAAATCAGATGTGTTGCCCCAGCACCACTAAACTCAGAAAGTGTAGTGGAGTGATTCCAGGGCTGTGCCTATTCCCATTAAGTAGGCTGAAAATATTTAATTACAGGCGGAAGATATCTGGATATTGCATGATAGTACATTTTAAAAGTAGTTGCTTTTAAATTATATTTTTTGAAGTGAATTTTATGATAGCTATAGGTGCACAGAGGTAGTTACAACCTGTGGTACTCCTGATATTTCCAAATAGCACTAATCGTGACATGTAGCATTCCTGCCATAGTTTTGGGATCCTGTTTAGTATGGATGTTGCAACAGAGTCACCACTGAGTTTATGATGTTTGGCCCCTAGGGCAGAAAGTTATTTTGCTAACTGACAGGAGCCCTGGGCATAATGCACATTTTAAGCAGATACTTTTTCTGGAATATTCCAAGAGTTGCATACAAGGTACCGAAATTTTTTCCATAAAAGGTGATAGTTCCTTTCTGTGACTTCAGTTAGGCTTTAAAGAGCTGAGAATAGTAACTTCTTCCTGGGGATTTTTTGTGTTGTCATACGAAGTGTTGTCACAAAGATATACATTGAGTGCATCTGCCTTTTCTATGCACAGAGTTGTCTAGTATTGGTTTGTCTGCATCTTTTTTCAAAGACAAACTGAGCCTTGGGGTCAGAGTTCAAAAAAAAAGCCCACGATTTTGTGCTCGGTTTGAGGTTTGACTGCCGCTACTAAAGAGCATATGATAGCTCTTTTGGTCTCTGAAAAAAATCTTTCTTTAGCTAAGAAGGGTATTGGTGCCTGAAAGTTTTGTCAATTTCTGGGGACACCTTTTCACCTTAGCTTCATCATGGTCAAGTGAATGAGTTCATCTCTCTCTAAAAAAGCTTGCCTCATTTACTTCTCCAGATCGTATTAGCCTCTCCTGGTACTAAGGAAGTCATGTATCTGATCACAAGATAGAGCAGATGGTTGCATGGACTTCTGCTGTGCTTGTGTGAGAAATGCTACCTTTTGGTTAGGTGCTCTTAATTTTGCACAGTTAAAACCTGTTTATGACATGCTGTTCATTTTACATTGCATTTGCTTCCGAACTTACTGTAGGGAGAAATAATTTTGTTTCTTCTAATGGGAATAGCATGGGAAGGTCTAAAGCAAAGTTCTTCTGGAATTTCCCTGCTTTGAAGAAATGCAAATTCAGTCAAATTTGTGTAGTCATAGCCTTCATGCTTTTTTAGTTTGTTGCTATGAAAATTTTGTCATATCATGTTCTGTTCATCCGGGTCTCCATCATGTGGCAACTTCTGAACACATCTCATAATTCAGTCAAATTTGAGTGGGTTGTAAATTGTTTTCCAGTGTAGTGAAGCCTGCCCAGTTTTATGAAAGTAGCTGAGCAGAGCAATGGGGAGACATTCTGATGCCTCTGTGGAGGGAAGGGCTACACTGTGGGCTTAGCCCTCACTAGAAACCAAGGAATTCCAGGGAAGCCTGGGGGGCTGACGTGGCAGACACCCCTGGTCATGGGAAGCCTGAGGGGGCAGTACCTTATTTCTTTAGCGATAGGAGGGGATCAACCTGTAAAACCAAACATCTGTAGAAGACCCAGGCTGCCTGATTGCCCTTGTCTCTGTTCTTAAGTTTGCTGTTCCCATCAGGCTGCCAGGTATGTATGTGTGTGTTCTCTTTGTGTTTTGTTGCAGAAACCCAAGCATCCAACAACAGGGCTAATTGCCATTACACTGGCATTTCACATATGCCATGAAGTCCACCTGGCAGGCTTCAAGTACGACTTCACTGACAGAAATAGCTCTTTGCACTACTATGGCAATGAAACCATGTCTCAGATGATGCAGGTAACTAACACTTGCTTGTGCTGAGAGAAATAGAGCTGGTAATTGGGGAAGGCAATTCAATATAGATAGAAGTGTGGATTGCAGGTCAGAAGGGCCTCCCACCTTCTCCTGGTTCAGCTGCTTGTGGGTTAACGTTTGAATCTCTTCGTGTCTGCTGCTGTTTCTGAAAAATGTAGATACTGATCTTTGTGTCCCTTGTGCTGTACCATATTCTGCAGTGTCTGCATGAGATGTCCATTTGTGTGTTGTGTTCAGCTTTGCTGGTGTTTTCCTTAGGCTGCACAGCCCTTGTCCTAGAGACATCTTTGTTAGCGCTGTCAGCGCATAAGCAATGTTGTTTCTTTTGGTGTTGTCTTTTTCCTTGGCACCTACTTGTACTGTATGTCATAGCTGTCAGACTCCTTAAAAGGCAGAAAGAAGAGCAAAGGGGAATGGAAGGAGTTAAGACCTATGAACTTGTATAGGTCTTGCATAGGAAAAGAACTGAATTTTGGAAACTCAAAGTAGAAAAGAAAAGCAGCTCTTGGAGGAGGCCAGGAAGAGAAGGAACTGCTTCTAGGAGGAGGAAGCCACAACTCAGCAGGAGAGGGAGCAGCAGGAGCCTGGAAAATACCAGGAATGCCTTCTCTTCCCTCCTGCTTTGCTAAGACCATGCCTCTGTTTTCTTTTATATCTCTGCTCTTGTATTCATTTGTCTTAATCTCTGTATTTCAAGCCAACCCTGTTTTAGCCCTTCACTGCAGTGTGAAGTTTTCTTTGCCATTTGCCCAGAGCATATGGGTGCCATTTTCCTCCTCTTTCATTTGCTGAAGAGGAAGGGTAGAGACAATGCCCATAGGAGCCTTTCATGTTTTTCTCAGAACTCCTAGATGCCTGCTCTTCTGAGATAATTTTCCTCTGACACTGAACTTGTCCTAGTTTGGAGGCTCATCTCTGCAGGTGCTTTTCTGCAACATATACTAAGTTTGAGTAAGGCTGATCATTAGTTGAATAGACATCCGTAAGTTTCCTAAAGTCTTGAAATTTTAAAAAACAAACTATTAAACAAAAATGTTCCTTTTAGTTCTTTAGTGGCAATAAATTGCAAATACTATACTACATCCGTGTAATCTTTTATGCAGTATACATATTATATTCGTTTTAATTTACAGGATTCAGTGTCTTTAAGTAAATTTACTTTCCTTGTGCTGCCCTCCACTAACCTTAGTGGTCTCCTCAAGAACCTGGATACAGCACAGAAGATGGGTTGCTTTGGGTTTGCTGAACCTAATTGGCAGGATGCATCTGAACTAGAAGTGTCTGATGTGCTTTTTCAAGAACCTGCACTGAGTTTTGACGATTACTCATTTTCTTACTGCTTGTGCTGTAAATGTTCTTACAGAGCCGTTGTTCTGAATAAGCAGGGCAAGGATTTGGAAGAGTTAATAATGGAAGGATTTCTGTGAGCCCACATTTCACCTGTTCTTATCACCAAAGGATCATCCTTTTCAGTTGTGTCCTTATGAAAATATCTAATCTAGTTTTGAGCATCTTGTTTTCTTGGGAAGCTGCTAAGCCTTTGCTAAGAAGTCTTTCCCCAGACCTTTTCTGTTCTTAGCATCTTCCAAGTATCTCAGGTAATAGAAAGGAACAGCCAAGTGGTGCTGCTGGTTATAATTTGATTTTATAATTAATTTTATTATTCCCTCACATCTCTTTAGAATGAATACCACAACATCACTGCCGAGCAGAAATTTTTGAAGAAGCTTATAGACAAGAACTTTGTGATCAATTTGACATGAAAGCTGAATGGAAAATACAAAGAACAATCACTATTTTCAAGATTTGAAAAATGTTATTTTTTGTATGACATTTTTATTTTTTAAGTGCAACATAACTGTTTACTGTTTAAAGGAGCGCAGAAACCTCATCAAGGCAAAAACTTTTAACTGAGGGTAATGGACTGTTGCAAACAGAGTTAACTGAATTTCTGTGAAGCTATTTAATAGTGGGAAAACCGTGAAACTTTCAACTGAAAGTATCAGGGATATATAAAAATGTGATGTACATCACTTACTTATCAGTGAGAACTCTTTCCAAATGATTAATTCTCTGGAATACTTTTGTTTCTGATGTTGTCCTCCAAAAGAGTTCCACTGTCAGGAGACTGAGATGACTGGTGTTCATTCTGTAGGTGGATGTAAAGTCATGACTGTCTTCTTGTATGAAAATTGCTTTAAAACTATGCATCTAAATCATTACTGTATGTTTTGGAGAAGGGGGAACATACAGACTGTACAGGTTTTGTTCTGCCATACTCCTGAGGAGAGGATGTCCACCTTCAGCTGAGCAGCCACAGCTTCTGCACTGACCATCAACTCTGGGCTTCTGTCTGCCTTTGCCGAAGGTGAAGACCCTTTGTCTGATTTGTGGAGATGTTGGTGTTGACGATGCTTGTGTTGTACCCATTTTATAGAATAATAATGCTCCCTGTGCTGTGCATCCAGTAAATTTTACAGTCGCTGACTTGACTTAAAAAAAAGGAATACAAAGACTGAAGAGCTGTCCGAACTACCTGTGTCAGCCCCCATACCACAATAGAAACAAAAGCTTGGACAGACATGTTCATGCCTGAGTTTAGAGTCAATGTTTGTTGGAGTCCTAGTTCTCCAGGACAGCATCTCATGCATTTTTTTTGTTTGTTTCCTCAAAAACAGGTGGATTTTTCCAAATGAGTACAATCTCCTTCCTCAGATGTTGTAATGCATCAATACAAACAAGGAATACTCCCATTTTTGGCATTAGAGTGTAGTAGGGAATATCCAGGGTGTACTTCAGCTGAATTATCATTTGGCATCTGTTTACCTCTTCTGTGTTGATATTTAAGTTTGAAGTGTGTGGATGAACTTAAATCATTTAGCAGTGAGAACTTGCTCACGATTTTAGTTGAAACATTTAATGGGAAGTTTATATTTCCTGTATTGGTTTGTCTCTGACAAGCCTGTGAATAAATGAAATCTGCTTGGGAACACGCTTGACAGCTATCAAAGAACAACAATGTGCAGTTCCAGTTCTCTCACAGGACATTTATATAAAATTTTTATTTTAATTATGGCAGAATTTCTGGATGATTTTGTGGTTATCTTTGTTAATCAAACCTGAAGAAAACGCAAATAAGTCCACTTAAAAAGTCTTTGAAGTTGGTAGGAATACCATGGTTGCTTTTCTATAAAATAATATAGAGAGGACATTTAGGAGGAATGCAAACAATCACAATATGAACATAAACCAGGGTATTTGTTATTTTCAGAAGGTGAGGATTGCAAGAGTGCTGAACACAATTTATTTTGCTGCAGCTATGGAGAGGAATTGCCATTTGGGAATTAGGGGGAGGGCATTGTGGTCTGGAGAGGTGCCACAGCTGAAGGGAAGGAGGCTTGTGTTTTCACCCAGTGATTCCTGAGCTTTGGTCTGTGTCAGGCAAGCTGGACATACCTGAAATAACTTGAGATGTCAGGAAAATCTCTGGCATGGGCTGGGGAAGGATGCAGGTGTGTCCCAGCAAGGGACAGGGTGTGCCATGGTGTCTTGTCTGATGCATGTCGCTTGGCTGCAGCTGTACTCCAGCTGTGTGCAGGGTGGCAGGTCAGGGTGTGGAGGAGAGGGAAGCATGTCCCCAGGTATTGCACCTGGGAAGCATGTCCCCAGGTGATACTGGTGGTAGAAATGGAGGAAATCATAATTTCTTCACTAACTGGCAGAAGGGCTCTTAATTTTTTGTATTTCCTTTACTTTTTCCTGAGACTTAGGAGAGATTTTTGCTTGAAAATCTCAATACAAACAGGTGGGGTTTCACTCAAGAAAATAGTGACATTATTGTCTTTGTGTCTCTAACAGCATTTATTTCTCCTGGTTATTTCAGTTAATTGAAAAGGTTTGTATGTGATTCTGCAGCCCCAGACCTACAGTGATTTAAACTCCTGACAGTAGTAATTCCACTGCAAAAGCTGCTGTGGCAAGGCTTTTTGCAGACATAGCAGTGTTCTCCAAGCTGTTGTTGTAGAGAAGCCCCTGGTAGATCTTTGATTGTGTTGAGAGCCAAGGCCAGCAGAAGTGGGGGGCTGCTCCTTCACCCTGAAAACCTGTGGTTGCTTCCAGAGCTAGGGCCCCCTGCTCTCCCAATGGCTGTTGCCACAGTCCAGCTGCATCCATGTAACATCTTGCAGGATGTTTTTCCAGGAGAGCTGTTGAATATGTTCCGGACACTGTGAGGAGAGTTTTTGTGATGGTGCAGACTGCATCCTTCTGCTTCTCCACCTCTGTCTCCAGTTCCAAAAAGTGGGTAGGGAGCTCTGCTTTTGAAGATGTTATTTTCTCTGCTTTATTTCATCTCCAGAGATAGTCTTCCCACTAATCTAAACTGATTCCTTCTCCAATTTTTCTAGTAGGTTTTCTGCTTTTTTTGGGAGGATGGGATTTGGATTCTAGCTGTAGCAGATCAAATAAAGTAATTGGAAAAAAATAGAAGCCTCATGGCAAACAAATGGTGTCTCCCAAAATCTCTGTACTTAAAAAAATCCCTTTAGTCTTTTCAACTTTTGCCACATCAGCTTTTTGATCTCCCTAAAATATTTTTTAAAATAATGTTTGGTGTTCTCAATGAATTTAATATGTTCTCTACAAGCATTTATCCATATCAGCTGTTTCTTTTCATATCCTAATAAGCCCTTCCCATGGTATGGCTGACTTATTTTTCAAATTAAGCGGTATTTTGAGGGATATTTTTCTACCACTTCTGTGCTCCTGCCGGGGTGTTGAGTCTACTGCAGTTTTTGTCCCTGGGTGACTGGGTAACATTTTGAATGAAACTGTTCCTTCAGGATGAAGTCAAGAGCTGATGCTGCTGATAAACTATGGGGTTTTTTGTTGTTGTTGAGTTTTTTGTTTGTTTGGGGTTTTTTTTTTTTTTTTTGAAAGCATAGCTTGCAGGCCAGTAGCTTTTTTGTCGTCTGTTATAAGCAGTGAGCCTAGTCATGAATTTTTCTCCCCACAAATTGTAGGATCCTGTGTACACCAGCCCTGTAACAGCACCTGCTTCATGTACAGCATTCCTGCTGCTCTGCCTCAAGGACAGAGGCAGGAACACCAATATGTAGTGTGTTTCTCAGCAGTGATCACAAATTAGTGTCTCTTCTGTCTGGGCACACATTTTCACAGGTGTTTTGTAGTACCAAAGACTTGGGGCTTTTAGAATAAAACAATAATGCTAGCATCAAATCTTTAGATAGTTTCCAGGCCTGAGCTGCTATTAAGATTTTTTTTTTACCTTTTTGCCATTTCTGAAAATGAAATCTGCACTGAAATTTCCTCCTTTAAAAGCTATCTGGGTTTTTTTTAATCATATCAGGAGTGAAGCTGCCAGTTTTGAATCCCAGGGTGCTGCCAGCTTTATTTCTGTGTCTGATAATGGTGTAACTGTGTAGGTCCCCAGTGTCTCCCATCATTTTTCTATCTGAAGTCAGATGTTCTCCTCCTTTCTTATTCTTGTTCCTGTTCTCTGGCAGCTTGCTGAATTTACAGCAAAGGTGCTTCTGCATTTTATCTGCCACCCATCTCAAAATGCTGCACTGTCAGATAGTCACAGCTCTAAAATACCAAACTATGCACAGAACAGGCAGGATGACACATGTTGGCTGAAAGCTCTGTTTGGCTCAGACTTTCTGGAGGTTTCTTTGTTGGGAAACTATTATTTCCTCTGCTGTAATAATTAAGGGAAGTCACAGACTATTGCACTAAATACGAACCTGAGAGTGTCTAAAAGATGTTCCTAAATGTATTCCAGATATTTCCAGTAACTACATAGGTGATAATAATACAGAATCACAACTTTGATGTTTAATTAGCATGTGGTACTTCTTGTTTCCAATGTCATGCTTTCCTTTTAGCAATGCTCTGGGGGAAGAGTATAAATACCTTCACTTTTAAGTGGATTCTGATTTTTAAGAACATACAAAGCTCAGCATATGTTTTTGGTATTGGGAAATACTTATTTTATTTGCCATTTGTCTTAAGTTTTATATGCCTTTGAAATGCCACGTGTATTTTGAGGAATTCTTAGAGTTGTTTCAAGTGAAATTTTGAATGCTACATATAGAAGGAGATTATTTTCCTGTGAATAAACTGTTAAAGACAGTGCCCTCAGACTTATTTTTGCAAGGCTGGTGCTCTCTCTGTGTGTGAGTGTGGATGTGTGGACATGCCCAGGGCTGTTATTATTGGTGTGTCAAGTAAATGGTGTGGTCAGGTATGGTTTCAAGTTTTGGAACAAACTTCAGTGCTTTGTAGAGCAAAACAGCTGAAAGTTTTTGAACCTAGGTGGGCAGAGTTGTCCTGTGGCTAGAGATCTATCTCCAGGCGGAGTACAACCATAGCCAAGTCATGTTTTTTTGTGGGTAAGATCAAGAGTAGCATCCTTGTGATTCGAATTTTTCATTGTATTTTGAATCTAGTTTGTCTTACTGTGAACTGGCGGGGGACTGCTAAAATAAGAGATGGTGTGCGATAAAAAATTTCAGAAGGGGAAAATGGCTTTAGATAGAAAGTGAGAGATGTTGAGTGCAGTATTTTTCCTTTGTGCAGTAAAAATGAGATGCTGAGGGCTTCAGGGAGTCCAAGGGAGATTCGGATAACAATTTTCTGGCACAGTAGGTATTCAGTGCATGGCTTTCAGTATGAACAGTTCAGGCGTTCACCAGCTTGGACCAAATGCTTGTCTTTGAGGAAGCCACATCAGGAGAGCAAGCACCTCTCCTCCTGGGCAGCCAGTTCTGCCTTTTCAGGCAACACAAGCCCTTAGCAGCAGCCTCTGTGGCTGATTCCTTGGCTGCCCCTCTGCCTTCTTCAGCTGCACTCCCATGTTGGCTCATGCTGAGCAGTATCTGTCCCCAGGGGCTACCTGAGGGAGTCCCTCCCTCTTCATGTACCCCCCAGACCCTGCTGTGCCCTCCCACCAAATGGGATGTGTTCCCTCTCTGGCTTACAGCATGTTTTACCAGGAGATGGGAACTAGAGAATAGGGTGTATCTCTTAATTTCCCTCCCTATATCAGGCTGTCAGTGGTTTCAGAGAGCCCTTGTGGTCTGATAAATGAGTTCAGCAGGATGAATGTTCCTTCTGATAGTTCTGAATGAAGACAGAATTGGTTTTTGGTTTTATTTTTAAAGATATTTAATAACGTATTTCTTTCAAATCAGTACAAAAATTTTAAATACAAAATTATTTGCTTTTGACATATCTCATATATTCTGGGAGCATACTGAAGTCACCAGTGTCTGGTAAACTGTTTGTCCATTCCTGCCACCATTCCATAAAATTTCTGAGATAAAGCACCACATTATATCACTTGAGTCCTTAGTCAATGTTAGACTGCATTAAACTCTGCATTTAAATAATGGTCATGCCAGTTAAATCCAATCTTAGTTCTGCGTGAAAAAAATCTAGTTCATTTTTGAATCAAAAGCAGTAGCGGTAGCTAAAGACATTGAAGAAGTGATGAGCATTTAACTCCTTGAACTAGTGCAGCCATGTGTGATGTACAGGGAACCACAGCAAGGTCCACTGCACTTTGGAAACAGAACACTTTTTGAGGTGAGATTAGCACCACTGATGAGCAGACAGAGACTTCGTGCACAGAAGTCACTGTCCTCAAGTACAGCAAAGTATTGAGACCTGCAGGTTCTCCTTGACAATTGGTAACGTATAAATAAGGATTGGAAATCAGTTTTTAGATAGAACCAAGTTCTCAGATAAATTTGCGTGATCAGTATTGCCAGTAAAGTTATTGGTTGATCTCAAGCAACAAATCAGTTAAACAAACAAAGCTACTTCTGCTTTCCCTAGTCATTGCAAAAGCAAACTGATTCAGCTTTTGCTGAGTGGCAGAATAGGTGTTTCTTCTGACAAGCTAAATGGGTTCTTGGTACAAGCCCAGAAATTCAAGCAAATTTATGCCACCCTGAAGTATGGCCATGTGTTGGCCAAAATGCCTCAATGACGTGGCACAAATAAATGGGGGAGATTTACCTCATCTACTTGAGCTGTGTGAATAGGGAACGGAGACTTTTTAAGTGCTGTGGCATTTGGAAGTGAAGCCAGTGCCTGCTGGACGCACTGGTGACATTTTAGATCCAGTGACTGCTGGAGAAGGCTCAGGGGGAATGATCATGCCATCAGGATTTCTCTTCCATCAGAGGTAAATTGTTCAGGAAAAAAACTCACATGCAGGATTATTTTATTACAGGGGAAGGAAATAAAAGTCTGCAGCCAAGGGAACCTTTGCTTGTCAGGTAGACCTGCTATAAAAAATCGAAGAAAACCCCCACCCAGACAAATAAGCCTCTCAATTTTTTAAAATATAGAGACTGACCTACTCTGCTTTAAGTCACTGTTTTTTGTCTCATAACTATGATCAAAGCAACAGGAGTGAGTGACATACACTGATTTGAACTTTAGTACTGAATTACTGTGAATGAAATTAAGTAAGCATGGCTTTGCAGAAATATATAATGTACAGCTAATATGTCCCCCTTGGGTGCAAAACAACTGTTTATGAACCTGATACACATCTTTAGATATGTTTGCCACACCTTTTTTTTATAACTAGCTGTGTATAATGTTAAACTTTGTATTTATTATTGTTTTTGTACAAGATGGTCAAATGGTCATAAAATGCACCTTTTGTTGTATAAAAGTTAGAAGCAGAGGAGAAAGGTTTTGATTTTGTGTGTGTGTTGTGTGTGTGTCTGTTTGTTTTACATGGGATACAATAAATACCCTGAAAAAGACGAATGAACGTACTGCCCGGCATAGAGTCCTGCCGCCTGCTCGGATGGCATCTGAACGTAAACTTTGTCTCCGTGCATCAGCTGCACCACGGCACTGCCCGAAGCCTGGTCCAGGAAGCCCTTCTTGTATTCGTCGTAGGTGTACATGAGCGGCTCGTTGTTCTTGTACAGCGCCACCCACACGTTGGCGCCTTTACAGTGGACGTGGTAGGCGAAATAGTAGACACCGGGGATCTCGCATGTGAAGATCCCCGTCTGGGGGTTGTAGTTCTGCCGGCCGTTGTACAGGAGCTTGTCGAACTTCACGGGCACCCCGACGCGGGGGAAGGGCGTGAGGAGCTCTGCCGTGAACGCGGGCATCTCGTAAACAATGCTACCAGCCTTGTCTTTCTTGGCCTTGTAGCCGTAGGGGGGCTTCAAGCCGTCTATCCCTGGTCCCACCTCAGGCAGGTATTGTCCCACAGCTGGTGGAGTGGGCGGGATGATGACCGGGGGACCTGGCGGCCCGGGAGGGCCCGGTGGCCCCTGGAGCCCCGGCTGGCCAGGAGGACCGAGCGCCCCAGGCTTTCCCGGGGGTCCCTGCAGCCCCGCAGCACCAGGTTTGCCTACCCCAGGAAAGCCAGGGGGGCCGGGCATGCCTGGCTCGCCCTTCGCCCCTGGCAGCCCGGGGGGGCCGATGGGACCACTGGGTCCCGCAATGCCCGGGATGCCCGAGGGGCCCTGAAGCCCCTGGGCACCGGGTAGCCCGGGCTCACCCTTTGGCCCCACAAGCCCCGGGACACCCGGCAGTCCCGGCAAGCCTTTGTGTCCGGCTTCCCCCTTGGGTCCTGTGGGGCCCGGCAGCCCCCGCAGCCCAGGGCCACCCACTTCCCCAGGAAAGCCTGGCTTTCCTGGAAAACCCTGCAGGCCGGGTTCCCCTTTGGGGCCGACTGGTCCTGGTGGCCCTACGGCGCCCCCCTCCCCTTTAGGTCCTGGGAAACCAGCGGCCCCCGGGGGTCCCATGATGCCTGGCAGTCCTGGCTGGCCGGGTTCCCCTGGTGGCCCTCCCATGCCAGGTGGCCCCGCATGCCCCTTCTCCCCCTTCGGCCCCAGAGGCCCAGGCAGACCACCCACACCTCGCTCCCCTTTGGGCCCAGGGAAGCCCGGCTTCCCAACCCCAGGGAGGCCGGGGGGGCCCGGCAGGCCTGGCAATCCCTGCTCCCCTTTGCCACCTGGGAAGCCGGGCTGGCCGGGCATGCCATCCTGGCCTGGTTTGCCAATACCAGGTGGGCCAGGAGGGCCTTGGATCCCAGGGGCCCCTGGAGGCCCCTGCAGCCCCAACTCTCCTGGGGGTCCGGGTTTGCCCAGGGGTCCCTGTGGGCCAGGGAAGCCAACCATGCCGGGTTTGCCAACCCCTGGCAGTCCCACGGGGCCGGGGGGACCAGGAAGCCCAGGTGGACCCTTCAGACCTGGCAAACCTGGGATCCCAACCCCCTTCTCCCCTTTTGGCCCTGGGATCCCAGGGATTCCTGGTGGCCCCTTCATCCCAGGCTCACCCTTTGGCCCTGGTTGCCCCTGCAGCCCTGGAGCACCCGCCTTCCCTATGCCAGGAAGCCCATGAGGCCCTGGTGGTCCTTGTGGTCCAGGAATCCCCATGGGCCCAATCTCCCCCTTCGGCCCCATCTCCCCTCTTGGCCCTGGGGGCCCCATGACCCCTGGTTTTCCTGGCATCCCTGGCAAACCCGGCTTTCCAATTCCTGGGTATCCTTGCGGGCCTGGTTTTCCTTTGGCTCCTGGTACACCATGACCTGGTAATCCTGGTGGCCCTGGTGGCCCTCTTGGTCCAGGCTCACCCGGGGGACCTTGTTCACCCCTCAGACTGCGTATGGGAATTTCTGTGAAGAAAAGAAGAAAGGGCCAGAGGAAGAGATAAAAGGTGAGTGCAGTCACATCCTTCAAAAAGCAGGCAGTTTTGAATTGAATATGCTTTTAATGATGCCTTGTGGTTTTGTGGTAGACAGAGACAACTAGCGAGTTACAGGTTGGTGTTGAGAATTAAAGAGGATGTTACTGTTTTTCATACTCCAAACTTCCATGTGTGCTTCTGTTACCACAAAGTAATTACTGTGCATCATATGTAAAAACCATTTGTGCTTTGGTGGTGTTTTCTACCTATACAATCTTAAACAGCAAAATCTGCATTTTGTCCCACATTGCGGTAGATCGATCTACCTTTAGAAGTTTTTATAGGAAACTCAGTGCTCTCGTGCTGTGGGAGGAATCCTGGCATAAAAGTGCTTTTTCTGGATGGGCATAAATAAGCAAGATCAATTAAATAAGATTGTATTAGTAAGAAGTTTATACATAACGTGTATCTGTATTTTCCCCAAGGCTTTGGTTCCCATTAGAGTATTACTGGAAACCAGCAGCCTTAATCAGTGTTGCTCTTTTGGCATAGCCATGTCTAGTTATGGCTCTTCTAAACACTTTGCAAAAGGTTTTTATTGTTGAAACCCACATTTTTGTGTATGTCACCACTTATTATTGCAAGTCAGGGTGGGGAAGTTGCTGCTGGGGTTGGTTGCTTTTCAAGCTCCTTCTTTTTGGGTTAATGGAAACTCTTTCAGGCTCTAAAATGTGTAAAAAAGTGAGAGATTTGGGGAAGGACGGGAGATGAGGTTTGAGGGCAGACCTCTGCTTTATGGGAGGCAGAAACCTTCCCTCTCTGCACATGTTGTGTTTTATGCACATCAAAAATCTTTGCTCATGAGGTAGGTTGATTTTTCTACAGCTAATGGTTCTTGTTCAGACACTCCAAAAATAGGCCCTGAAATCTTCCATTTCCCTGTGAAGTCAGTGGAGGCTGTGGTTAGCTGGGGCCTCAGTAGGACAAAGTTACCCAGTCTGTCTGCACTTGTACAGATGCTGGTGGTCCTCACAAGAATTTTATGACACTGGGTGTTCCTGGTCACCCTTTGTATTTTGGACTTTTTTTTTTGTTTTCTTAAGTACCTTAATACTGTCCAAACTTCCTTTACTGAATAGAGAAAGTGCTTGTACGTGTAGACCTGTGCATTAATCCTCTGTACTTTCAATGCCTCTGTTACACCCATAAATAACCTACAGAAAGAGGACTCCAGAGTCTGTAGAGAAATTGTATGTTTTTATCCACAAACCTCAAAATCACAGGGTCTGGACAAAGTCAGACAAAACAGTGATGTTCCCATAAATTTAAACCTTGGGGCTCTTAGTTCATATGTGTGCTTGTTCCAGTGAGAGTGGGAGCACATCCAGACAGGACTCTGAGCCATCATTTGAAACCCCATCAGAGGGTCTCCTACAAATAGATGGGACAGCAAGGCTTTTCCTAGAGTTGAACAGCACCTGAGCAAACCTGTATGCTGGAGGCTCATTGCAGGTAGGGCTGCTCAGAGGCTGTGCTGCAGCCCAGAGGATGACTGTGGTCTTGTGCTGGTGACTGTGAGCTGCCCCACAGCTCCCATGAACCTGTTTTGTCCACCTGTGGCCAGGTATGAGCCTGGCCAGCCCTTTGGGCACAAGGGTGCTGTGCCCAGCCTGCAGCAGCAGCCTGCTCCAATGTTAAATTTCCCCATGGCACGCCAGATGGGACCGTGCAGGAGTGGAGACCTACCTTTCTCTTTCTTGGGAGCCATATCCTTGCCGAGCATCGGCATCTGTGGGACCTCCTTCCTGTACTGGGGCAGATGGGGGTACTCCTTCCTGTAGGGCATGCGGGGTACCTCCTTGCCCAGGTGCTGCATTGGGATGCCTTCTTTGCCCAGCGGCATGTGAGGTACTTGTTGTCCAAGGGGTTGGTACTGGGGCACCTGAGGTGGCAGCTGCTTGATCCCATAGTAGGCACCACCTTGAGCAGACCTCACCAGCTCTAGGTAAACAGTGACAGCCACTACCAGCAGCTGCATGGGGAAGAGCAGCATGACCATCACCTGTGAAAAGCACCACAAAACACACAGATGGAAGATGTTTTTACATGTTGTGCATTCCTCATTAGGGCAAGCTGTTCTATTTTCTGCAGCAAACTGGACCTAAATCTCTGCAAAGTGGCCCTGGTTTGTGTGCTGCCCTGGAGGATATCCTGCAGCAGGTCTGTATCTGATTTATTGGAGGGTCTACTCAAGCACTGCTATTACAGCAAATGCCCTTCTATGTATTTAGTTTTATGCCACCCCAGAGGAGCCCTCTGTGATTACTCCACACAGGGGCCTGCTCCCAGTTTGCTGCCTTCTCATCTGAGCTTTGGGGAACTCTGCTGCAAGCTCTGGCACATGGGAAGAGCAGGCAGGGGATGTGGGGATCTCCTAAAAGGGTTCTGCCCAAGAAGGTGTATTGTCGGTTCCCCTTCTTCTTTCCACAGCAATGAAAGCTCTGTTTCTGAGCTTAAATCTGTGCTTGGGATTGTACCCTCTGGCTGCAGTGTCCAAGGGCTGTCTGTTTCTACCACAGCTCCTTGCCAGCTCTCCTCTTAGCTGGGCTGGGATCCTCTTGGCCTCCTCCCAGAAGGAATGGGCCTGCTTAGGCTGCCACCACTCCAGGTAGGATCAGCCAACCCAAGCCTTCCTCTGGAAGGCTTGGGTTGGCTGATCCTACCTGGAGTGGTGGCAGCCTAAGCAGGCCCATTCCTAAGCAGGCCCTATTTTCTGAAGGTCTTCCCCACTGTGGATCCTTGCCCATTGCAAGGCAGCCCATCCCAGCACCTCACCAGTCCTGCTAACACAACAGAATGGGGTTGGGCTTTCTTTCTTTTACTTCTTTATCAAAATGTTAGCTTGGGACTTCTTGTCCCACCTGTTGTTGGCTTTTCTTTTTGCAGTTAAGGGCACTACCATCAGCTGAACAGCAAATTAGGAACCAGGAACTCCCTCAAGTAATGTAAATTAGGGGACAGCACATGGTAAAAAGAGACTCTGTGTGTTGGAGTATTTTGGCCCACAGCCAAATCTGGCAAGCAAGTCTTAACCTTTCAAAATACACATGGCAGTTGCCAAACCTGATGGCTGTTGCCACTGTTCCTTTTTTCTACCCTGCAAAAATGCCTTGCACCCAACCTGGGTGCATTTCCAGGTCATTTCTGCTCCAGAGCTTTGCCAAATTACTTGTCAGGACTTGCTCCCAGCAGCTGCTGTGTTCTGGTGTGATGAGGGTAGCCTGAAGAGGCAGCAAGAGCTTTGTGTCACCTGCTTATTTTTCTGTCCTTCCCCAGCAGCCTGGCTCGACATAGAGGACAAAAAAGTACCTCAGTCTACGGCAAAGGGGCTCAGCACTGTGCCCTCATGTCTGGGAAGGATCATTTATGGGGAGAAACTTTCCCCTGTGTGCCCTCTAGGTTTTATGTTTTACTCCTGTTTGACGATTTCCATTCACTTGGTGTTAGCAAAGCACCTGGGGAAACCTTTGCTGCCCTTTTAAAACATTTTCCCTTCATTTTGCTCTATAAGATTTTATCTCTAAATAGAAATTGGTGTATAATCATTACTGAAGGTGTAAGTGGAGGCTAGATCAAAATGGTGTAGTTGAAATAAGCAGGTTATTTTCAGCAATGATCACCTACAGACATATGAACTACAGAAAAGATGGAAATATGTGTTAACAGCAAACCAAACCTTTTAAGGAAATGAAATACTACGAATAAACACTAGATGGAGCATATGTTGCACAGCTGAGTTTCTACAGTCACTTTCCCTCCCAGGAATTCTTGGACTAACTAGCTGCCATGTGGCAAAGAAAACCAGAGCCAAGATGTACAGGAGTTTGTAAGGGTAGCCAAAGCCCAAGCACAGTTGCTCATCCTTGTTCAGCAAAGCATTTCAGCAAATGCTTCTCCTCCAGTGAGTTTAATGTGGCTTTTAGCCCACAGCTGGCTGTGCTGCTGTGAGCTAAAGGATTAGGGCCTTGGGATGTGGTATTTCTGTTTAAAGCTCAATGGTGAGCTTTGGAGTGGGAGGGCAGCCTGTGCATGATCAATTATTGTGGCTTGGCTGGGGTGGGGTGACTGAACTAACTCACTCCAGCTTCATCTGGGCACATGGACCCTAAGCAACCTTTTGGGGTTTTTTTTGGGGGGTGGGGGGAAATGGGGGAGGCAGGAATATATCCCCCTTGTTTTTCTTGGCCTTCCTGCTCCTTTCTGTACAGGAGTAAATTGCAACACCTTTGCCTCTCTGTAGCTGAATAGGGTAATGCCTACCTAAGTCTGCAGGGAAAATCTCAGTTACTGGAAAATTTGCACTATTCTCTGCCTCTCTCTCAAAGGAAAAACATTACCTGTATGAAGGGAGAAATTCAGTGAAACCTTTTAAAAAATTATAAGACACTGGATGATATAGGACAGGTTTTGAAACCTGTTAGTTTGAAGGGCAAAGTGGATTTTGAAGAATGAGGTTATTAATTTAGCATCTTGGCTACTTTGTTGTTCTGGTGGCCAGTTTGGGGGGGGGGGGGGTTAAAAAAGATAACTTCAGTGGAATAAGTAGAAGGGGAAATAGGTAAAATTCCTTTGGATGAGATTTTCTCCTTGTTATTATAACAAAACATGGACTCTGTGTGCAAGTGGGAGGCATTTGAAATAACTGAAAAAACTTTCCTACAGGAGACACCAGCCTGCCTGCTGCTCAGGTGAATTTGGGCTGCTGAATGCCCTGCCAAGCATCACGCAATGCACCTGCACTGCAACAGGCATGACCACAAGGTACACGAGATGGTTTTGTGTATACACATGGAAATTTTGAGGGAGATTAGGCAAGACTTGTAGAGATAGGAAGGCTCCAGGGAAGGAGATGATCTCACCACATCTGTGTTTCCTGTATTGTTTTCTGACTCATCCATAACTCAACCAGTGTGGCCTGGAAATGACAGATTGCTTCTCATCTATTGATTTTGGCTTGGGCTGGTGCCTGTGACTAGCTGAGATGGAAGGTGGGAGTTTATTTACTGAACAACCTTGGGCTAGATGTGATTTGGCTGGCATCTTTGTGGGAGGAGGTCAGAGTCTCCCCTGTGGCCTCGTGAGCTGTCTGGGGCTTGGGGTCTGCCGCAGGTACTGGAGACACAGCCTGTGTTTGGTACTGTCTGTCCAGCTCGTCTCCCCTTGCTCACAAAGGAAGGAGGGATCAGAAAAAAAATTAGTCTTGATGAGAGATGTGGTAGAGTCATATGTGCTGCCGCTGGATTATTGCTGTCAGATACCATCACTACAGGGAAAGCCTGCTCAGAAGCATGAGAGATGCTGGGGATAGTCCTTCAGAGTTTCTGCTCATTGCCTCTCATCCTGCTCAGCTTCTCTAAAAAGTTATTTATGCACTGAGAGAAGTTGAAGGTGTGTTTTTTCTGCCTTGCAGTTTGTTTCTGAGTGCCTGGGTGCACAGCTCTAGTTTGAAGACCTCACTAGGAAACCCATTTAATGGGTTTCCTAGTGAAACCCATTCACTATGGGCATCTTTAAATGCCTAAAAGCTACTGAAAATCTTGCTCTTGGTTTTCAAAAGAAGCCTATAGATCCTAAGTGTTGGAAAGGTCCTCCAGAGCTTCTGAACAGCAAAAGGAGATGTTTTCCTGGCAGTGACAGAAATCAAGGAGAGTGAGTAGGAGAAAAACCTGTTTTGAAGATGCAGCCAAAGTGTAAGACTTCCCACTCCCTTCACCCAAATCCCAGCAATTTAGGGATCACCCTCAAATGCATTCATGTAATGCAATCTGACATGCTTTCCAAGGTGACTGTTGGTGGAGCAGTAATTTCACTTTGGATTGGGATTTTCCAGGGTTTTTGTCAGAAAGCAATAGGAATGTGTCTGTGTATTTGTGGCAGGTTATAAGTGCATGAGTACTCCTTTAGAGAAGCCAAGGGCTTGGAGAAAGTAAAGTTTTACTGTGACATTGGATGTTGGAAGGAAGATGGAGGAGAGGAGCCACTGAGCTTTCCCACAATGTGACATGTCATTTTGCACCAGACGTTCAGATTAAGCCACAACAAACATTTTGCTTTACCTAGGGTGAGACAAGACACTTGAGGTGAAGGAACATTATCCTAAACCACAGTATTCAGTTGCTTGTGTGTGTATCTGGTTGGTTCTGTGGGTGAGAGAGAATCCTTGAAAAAACACATTTTTACAGGCAAAGCTTGAGCGAAAACATTTCTCAATAATCTCTTTGGTAGAGCTGTTCTCCTGAGAAAACTATAAAGGACCTTTCTCTGGCTATTTGAGTTTGTCAGCAGAAATAGGAGACAAAACAAAATGCACCAGCAGTCATAATTCTTAAATTGGTGTGAAGAAATAATGGCTGTTTTAGCATAATTATGTAAAGAATGTATGGAAAGAGTGATGCCCATCCACTTGGGACTTGAAATCATAGGTGGTCTTGCAAAGAGTGGAAACTAGACCTTGATTTATTGGTTCTTACAGGAAAGTCATCACTCTGCAACCAAGGTTGGGTTGTCTGAGAACTTCTAAGATACTCACCCAGGGACTACCCCCATGGGCTTAATTTACCAGCTCTTGCTTTTGAATTGCTGTATTTCCCAAACAGGCATAAGGCATGAGTGGATCTCAGTGACCTGAAATCTTTTCCCTGTGGTCCCTTCTATAGGGGCTGCCTGAAGCTGCAGAGACTAGTTCCCCACTGCACTGGGGGGATGGCCTTGCTAGTGCTCTGGTTTCCACAAGGAAAATGAGTGCTGCAAAATAAAAATCCTAGTGACTCTGGAGATTTTATTCACAGAAGAGTGCTACTAAAAACAATTGATGATAAAAAACTACATTCTCCAGCATGTTTTTGTTGAGATCAGAAGTGGTTAGGGTGACTTCTGGAGTGACCTTGACAACAGATCCTATTACCAAGTATCTACAATAATGTATCCAATCCCACAGGAGCATTATACACCTTACTAAAGTGTCTGTCATACAGAGACATCCAAGAGCAGTATAATGCA